GGAGGCTCGGGGACCGCTTTGCAGAACACCTACGCTCGGTTCGCAATAAACAACTGCACCTCCCAGTCGCGAACCATTTCAACTCCCTCTCCCATTCCTCAGACGACATGTCCATCCTGGGCCTCCTGCAGTGCCACAACGATGCCACCCGAAGTTTGCAGGAACAGCAACTCATGTTCTGCTTGGGAACCCTGCAGCCCAATGGTATCAATGTGGATTTCACAAGTTTCAAAGTCTCCCCTCCCCCTACCGCATCCCAAAACCAGTCCAGCTCGTCCCTGCCTCCCTAACCTGTTCTTCCTCCCACCTATCACCTCCTCCCACCTCAAGCCGCACCTCCATCTCCTACTGACCAACCTCATGCCGCCCCCTTGACCTGTCCGTCCTCCCTGGACTGACCTATCCCCTTCCTAACTCCCTACCTACACTCACCTTTACTGGCTCCATCCCCGCCTCTTCGACCTGTTTGTTTCCTCTCCACCTATCCTCTCCTCTATCCCTCTTCTATCCACCTCCCACTCTCTCCCTATTTATTTCAGAACCCCCTTCCCCTCCCCCTTTTCTGATGAAGGGTCCAGGCCCAAAATGTCAGCCTCTCTGCTCCTATGATGCTGCTTGGCCTGCTGTGTTCATCCAGCCCTGCACCTTGTTGTCTCTCATTAGTGAACCAGATAGGTTTTTAAGTATAATAGAACAATCTCATGGTCAAGTTTACTGACCAGCTTTTTTACTTCCAGTTTGTTTGAACCAAAGTCAAATGGGATTTGAACTCAAATTCGATTGATTAGTCTCGATTTCTTGGTTCTTAAATGAGCCCCAGTGGTCAATCCTCTACACAAACTGGTGCTGTATTATTCAAAGGTTGAATGAGCTTTTTACCAGCAAGCACCAAATGACATTACTTTATAGCTATGCTTATTTGAAGAACTCTTCAATATGCTCATTTTCCAGTCTAATTTCAAAGCAAAGCGTTGCAGCTACCTTACATCTCGTTAAAAACCACACAACTTAAATTATCACTCATGCACAAGCTATTTTAGTCATGTTTTATTACATACTAAGCAACTTAATTTGCTACATTCAAAGCGAATAAAACAGAACATAATCCATGCTGTCTTTACTCTTCCTTACATCAGCACCTTCATCTTTGAGCAAAAGATGCAAAATCTGGATTTTCTCCTCAGCAAAGTCAGCAGAATGCTTCAATTAAGAATATTTCCAGAAATCCACCTTTCTCATACCCTCCACTCCTTTCCTAAATTAAAATCTTTGCTCAATCATCGCCAAAGTTATTGGGCAAATATTTATCAAGTCAATTTTTGGCAAAAGAAAGTGATGTTCTATGATTCTTAATGTAGGTGGTTTTGAAGAGACAATAATAAAAACACAAAAGGTTTGGACAGACTTGACAGGTCTGGCAGCATCTGTGGATAGAGAAGCAGCATTAACATTTCAACCCTTCTTTTGGACAAGTTTGAAATGTTCACTGTTTCTCTCAAAACAGATGCTGCCAGAACAGCTGAATTTCTCCAGCATTTTCTGTTTTATTTCAGATCTCAAGCATTGGAATCACTTTGCTTTTATTTGAAAAAGTAACTTTGGTGAACTAATAAACTCCTTGTGGTGCAGCAGGTTTGTGATGAACAATTGTAGCTGAGCTCCTGCCTATGCAAAGAGAAAGCAGATTAATAACTATTAGCCACTCTTGTACATTTCTAATAAGTCAGTTAAAAAGTTGTCACTTATAAATGGTTTAGCTACCTTTCCTCAATTGGTGTGTTTTGACCCAAAATAGGAAAACAAAATAATTAATATGTGATATAGGTAGAATATCAGAGAGTAAATTGGAATATAAACAGTTAATTGAGTCCACATGATTTCCATTCAAAATGCATTGAAATTGGCTTATTTGTTCACCTCTCAAGAGAAATAACATGCTAACTTTTTTTGATCCCTGTAGGTAATTCAGCCAACTTGATTCCTATTTCATTGCAATAAGCCAGGATTGAAATGCTCTCCGCAAGGAACAACTTGTAGTAGTACTATATGTTTGATCACTCCAGATGATCAAATATCATCATCTATTTTTGTGAATGAATAAGTTGACAGAACATCAGCTATTTTTTCCAGCAGTTTATGTTAAAAGTCCATGGCATATATGACAAAAATAAAAAAAAAACTTTAGCACCTCACATAATCAATGTCTCCCCTCCCACTTTTAATCTGCTCTCAAATCGAAACTCTGCTCAGTTCTGTTTCTGAACCAATTACTTAAATCTGAGAATCATCCCTTCAATTTTATCCAGTTTTTAAATTTTCATGAACATGATTGTATTGTGCGAGATGCACACGTACTCCTCTGGTAACTTTAGAAAATACACAATTGTCATAGCCAACCATCTGAATTGTTCTTGTAGAAGTGAAAAGGTCTAAAGAAACCAACCTTTCTTTGATATATCTGGCACAACAGCACTGTAGCTGTCAGTGTGTGGTAGTCATAAATAGCAAAAAACTGGTCAAAAAGTTGTCTCTGTAAAATGTGTGTTGCTGACATTTGCTAATTTATTTAAATGTGAAATATTGCCTTACTGGATAGTAATTCTGGCCTTAATAAATGATAACATACAGTAATTACCTTAAACTATTAAGGTGGGTGGTTATATTGTACATCTTCAACTTGAAATACTCAAACCAAATGCTTTTTTAAAAAAATCAGATTTAAGTTATTACAGTTTTTTTTTCTAAAATGTTATTCCAGACAATGAAGCATTGGGTGCTGTTGAGTTAACTAATATTGCCAAACCATGAAACAACCTTTATGCATGCAAACAAAGTCACATAGGGAGTGTTTCAATTTGCCTGTTACAGAGTAAACACTTTCCTTGGAGGGACAAATCCATTTACCCATGTACAGTATGCTTTGCAGAGTTGATTGAGCCAAATCCTAGGAATCTATATTTGCATAAAGTGACACGATATTAACCAGAACTGTGCAGTCTGACAGCACAGGACACTTCTAAATTTTCTACTTCTTGTTAAGCCAAAGCATCTCTCACATTAGGAATAATATTGGCTTGCATGGCTAGAGCCAAATTAAAAAGAATTCCTGCTCCAATGATTAATCCAATTGTCAAATATGCCCTGAAGTACAGTGAACCTCTCCTCATTATTGTCACCACGTAAGAAAACATTACCATGATTCTGAATGTAAGCATCATATCTAAAAATTAACTGTTTCTTTCTCTCTTACTCCCCACAGAGGCAGCCAGACCAGCTGGGTTTCTCCAGCACCTTTTGTTTTTACTTCAAACCCCACTGCTTGGGGGTTCTACCATTTGGCAGTGCAGTTTCAGCAGTTTCTCTGCAACACAATCATGGGTTCAATACAACAATCTCTGGATGACATGAGCATGGTCACATACTTGGCCTACCTGGTTTTCCCAGCAGCTATAACCCCCATTCTCAGTTTTCTAAGCAATGAGAGGAGATTCATCTCCCTCAGTACGATGTAGAATGCTGAAAGAATGGCAAGTCCCAAGCTTCCAAGTCTAGGGCTGTGTATCCAGATAACACGAAAGATTTCATAAAAAGAGGTATGCTTGAAATGTATCAATTTTCACTTTAAAAGTACTGAGTTGTATGTTAGCTTTCTTTTTTTTGCCACAAATCCCTGCTACTCTATTTAGTTCCGGAACTATCAAACCTATTCATTATTTGCGTGACTAGCCAATTACCTGGACACCAGAAATAGGTGTCAGCCTTGGCTCGAGTTCTTGGGTTCAAATCCCTTGGACTTGAGCTCATAATGCTGGCTGCTGCATATGTTTCACTTACCCTCTTTTAGATGAAAGTTTAAAAAGATCTGTTGGCATTATCCAAATAAGAGCAGGACCAGACTTCTGGCCAATACTTGCTCCCCATCTTAAAACATTTCTGTACAATTTGAAGAAGTTGGTGTGTACAAATTCATTATGACATTTCTGACAACACAACAGTGACTGGACTTGATGGCTAAAGCAGTGGAGGACATCGTCAAACCAGCAACATGGGGAATTTGCTGTGAAAGGCAGGTCAAAGGATTAGAATTGACACAAAGAGATACAAGGGCAAGTATGTGATCACACTCACTTCGTTTAGACATATCATCATTATGTGTTACAGCAAAGCAATGCCTTGCAACAGCCTGAAGAAAAGCAGAGAAATGCTACATGAGACGGTGGGACCGGTATGATTCACAAAATGCTCACAGTGGTAGCTATGAAGAAATGAACTTTGTTGAGAGGGGAATGGCCACAATCCATTCGTGGTGCTTTGTCAATCACTGCGTGAAACTAGCAGCAATATGATTTAATCTCAGAGACGACAGCTTTTCCTGTTTATTTGATTGGAAATGGTGTGCAGGGGATTGGCAGTAGATAATAGTGCAGACAGGGTGGGCCGAATGGCTTCCTCCTGCACAAGAGTAACTCGGTGATTCTGGCGCCCTTAGCAGCTTGCAGCGTTCCCTCGAGCGGCATCCGCACAAACCTCAACCGGAAAACAACAAGCTCCAGTTTCCCCGTCCCTCAGACAAGGCGATGGGTCCCAGCTGTCTATTATCCACTAAACCCGAGCTAAATACTTCATTCAGGTGATGAGGAAGCGAGATTGATTTCTCACCTGTACAATAAACCCTCAAAATTAAAAAAAAAATCACAATCCCGCGGATGCTGAAATCTGAAATGAGTACAGAGAAACTCATCAAGTCCCGGTAGCATTCGTGTACAAAGTTATTGTTTCTAGTCCAATGTGACTTCTTCAGGTCTGTATAAGATCAATCTACTCAGACTGTGCGGGCAATTCGTGGACTCAAATAAAAACAAGTGTCCAACGCTAAATAATGGCACGTTGTCACTACCTCAACACAGGAATAAAAAACACACAAACGCCCCGAGCCCAATGTGGTGCTAAGATTGTGTACTTAAGAGAAAGGGGAAAGTTTCCAGCACTGACTGAATTACCTTCAGCATCCGGATCTCTCGGAGTGCAATCTTCTTAATAACCGGATCGTCCTCAGACTCCACAAACTTTTTAATCGCCACGATCTGGCCGGTGTCTTTGTTCCTGCACTTGAAGACCACGCCGTAAGAGCCCTCGCCGATTTTGGCGATCTTTTCGTATTTCTCCATGCCGCCGGACCTGTCCCTTTCACCCGAAGCTCGACACGTCCAGGCTGTAAAAATGGCGCGGCGGGACCCGAGTGAGAGACAGACAGACAGAGAGAAGGCTGCACTCCCCTGGAGCCACCGCTAAGTGCCGGCTCTCAATCAGCGGGAAATCGCGAAGGGAACCCCGTCCTCCCCCAGTGTATCGCCGCCACTTTACTCGGGGAAGTCTCTCGCACACAATAAGCGGCTGCAGCGTGTGAACAACAAACTCACCGTCTCCACTCGGGGGGGGGGGGGGGGGGGGGTGGAGCGGGGGTGGAGCCTTCCCACCTTCAGAAGAACCTTACAATAAGGTGCTCAGCCCCACCCCGACACACTCATTTTATTCATTTCAGTGTCTGTGTACTTTTTTTCCCCCCCCCTGATGAACATTCAGAGATACGCATCCGAACAAACAGCTCGCAAACGGCAAAATCAGCCCGAAGCGGGGGGGATGGTGGACAGGGCAGAGGGTTCTCCAGAGTTTGGACATAGGCGTAATGGGCCGAATAGCCTCGCGTCATTAAAAAACAGAAAATACCGAACATGCTCGGCAGATCAGACAGCTTCAGTGGTCGTTAGCCACTGCTTTCAGGGGAGGGTTTAAAAAGCAAATCCCCAATTTACCCCAAAATTGGAGATATTTTGAACGACAGGCTTGGCCTCAAGCTAACTGATCTATGAGTTCAGATGCTAACACTGTTCTAACAGCTGGTGCCTAGCCTGTTGAGTTTTCCCACTTCCAGTTCTTATCTCTATTATTAAAGATTTGGTAACTCAATCACAATAGAATTAGAGACAACACAGATTTATGAAAACGAAAATGGGTACTTGTTCGTTTTGAGATTAGAACTACAAAAGGTTCGTAAGAAGGAGAAATTAACACAATGCTGGTGCTGCCAGACCTGCTGAGTTTCCGCTGCATTCTTTGTGCTTGTTTCAGATTTCCAGCATCTGCAATATTTTACTTTTATGCACGAGGAATCAGATGTTAAAATTGGATTTTCAAAAATCATTTGATGAGGTGCACACAGGATATTATACGAAGGATCTAACAGAAAGTGAAATGTCAAATGATTTGGAATTCTCAACCCGAGAGCTGTGGATACTCAATCATATAAACGAACATATGACCTACATGCAGGACCACGCAATTCAGCCTCTCGAGCCCACTCCACCATTTAGTACAACCAAAGCGGATCTCATCTTGGCCTTAACTCCACTTTCCTGCCCACTCTCCATAACCCTTCAATGATTAGTAATTAAATATCTATCTTCTCCTTAAATTTATGTCCTGGCAGCTGGGGTAGTTGATTCTGCAGTTCATGACCCTTTGAGAGAAATAATTTCTCCTTATTTTAAATCTGCTACCTTTTATCCTAAAACGATGAACTTTCATTCCAGATTGCCCAATATGAAGAAACACCCTCTTCACAGCTACTTTGTCAATGCCCTCTAGCACCTTGTTTACCTCAATTATATAGTCCTATTGACTTAGACTCCTTACAATGTGGAATTAGGCCCTTCGGCCCAACAAGTCCACACCGATTCTCACAGCATCCCGCCCAGACCCATCCCCCCATAACCCACCTAATCTACACATCTTCCTATCGTCTCTCGTTCTTCTAAAGTGTAAAGAACGCTTAAACTGCTTAACCTCCCTTCATAACGCAAACCCTTTTACCTTTGAAACAATCCCGTGAACGTCCCCTAACTTGCTTCCAATATCTCCACAAGCAAGGAATCGAAAACTATACGTAGTATTTCGGGTGCTGTAGTACATTCAAAACAGAAATTGACATTTTTAGGTACTAAAAGAAATAAGGAAGTTGTGAAAATAGAGAGGAAGGGGGAATTGAGCTATAAGATTGATGATCGTATTGAACAATCTACTTGTATTTTTTTATTTCTAACGTGCGGAGACGGTAGCAGGAAAGAAGACAGAATTGCTATTAAAGGCACTGAAAATCTGGTGAAAAGAGGAATTTCCTAAAAAAAATTCTCTTTTAAGAGACCACGGTCTTTCCTCCGCCCCCCAATCCCTCTTTCTGAACTTAGCAACGGTCATTTGGTAAGGATGATGAAAGAAGTCACAACCAATGTCACCATTTGATGCTGGATCCCATGAACTTCCTTTTCGGTATTTTCTGAAACCTGGCTTACGGAATTTGAACTTTTTAGGATCGATCTCTTAACAAATTTAATGTTGTACATAATCTTGAAAAATACGATGCTATGAAAATGCAAGAAAAGTCGCACACTACTTTAAAAACATCTTAGGTGCCAATAGGACATCAAATGTGATTTTTTTTTCTTGCACAAGTAGCATACTAAGCAAACACATACTTGCCGATAGCGCACAATCCGGGACAGCCAGCTGGTCACCGCTTTGCCCGAGAGTCAGCAAGAGCGAGAAATAGCCATAGAAAGATTAAAATTATGAAATCTCTGCCATCACGCAATCTCAATATTTGAAAAGAGACAGTTCATGTTTCTAGACTGTAAACTTTCATCAGAACTAGGAACGGTTAGAAATGTAACAAGACTTTGAAAACTGAAAAGGGAAAAAGGCTGTGAGAACAAAAGGGAAGGTCTACGACAGAGATGAGGTCTGAAGAAATTACCTAGGGATGACGATATGTCCTGTCAGAGGTGGTGGCACAATGGTATACCAGTCAGGAGGGTGTTGCTCTGGGAATCCTCAACATTGACTTCAGACCCCATGAACTCTCACGGCTTCAGGTTAAGCATGGGCAAGGAAACCTCCTGCTGATTACCATATACCATCTTCCACAGCTAATGAATCAGTACTCCTCACTGTTGAGCAACACTTAAGAGGAAGCACTGAGGATAGCAAGGGCACAAAATGTATTCTGGGTAGGGGATTTCAATGTCCACCACCAAGAGTGGCTCAGCAGCAGTTCTATTGATTGAACTGGTCGGGTTCTAAAGGACATAGCTGCTAGACTAGATCTGCGGCAGATGGTGATGGAACCAACAAGAGGGAAACACATGCTTGAACTCATCCTTACTAATTTGCCAGCTGCAGTTGCATCTGTCCATGACAGTATTGGTAAGAGAGTGACCATTGCACAGTCCTGGTGGAGCCTTCACATTGGAAATAACTTCCACCGTGTTGTGTGGCACTATCACCATGCAAAATGTGTACAGACTTCATACAGATCTAGCAACTCAAGACTGGGCATCCATGAGGCGCTGTGGGTCATCAACAGCAGCACAATCTGTAACCTCATTGTCCAGCATATCCTCCACTCAACCATTACAGTCAAGCCAGGGCATTAACCCTGGTTCAATGGAGAGTGCAGGAGGGCATGCCAGGAGCAGCATCAGGCATACCTGAAGATGAGGTATCAACCTGGTGAAGCTACCAAACAGGACTACTTGCACACCAAATAGCGAAAGCAGCAAGTGATTGACAGAGCTAAGCAATCGCACAACCAACGGATCAGATCTAAGCTCTGCTGTCCTGCCACATCCAGTCATGAATGGTGGCGGTCAATTAAACAACTCACTGGAGGGAGGAGGCTCCACAAATATTCCCATCCTCAATGATGGAAGAGCCCAGCACATCAGTGCAAAAGATAAGGCTGAAGCATTCGCAGCAATCTTCAGCCAGAAGTGTTGAGTGGATAATCCATCTCGGCCTCCTCCAGTGGTCTCCAGCATTACAGATACCAGTCTTCAGCCAATTCGGTTCACTCCACGTGATATCAAGAAACAGTTGGAAACACTAGATTCTGCAAAGGCTACGGGCCCCAAACAACATTCCAACAACTGTATTGAAGACGTGCTCCAGAACTTGCCGCTCCCCTAGCCAAGCTGTTCCAGTACAGTTACAATACTGGTATCTACCCGACAATGTGAAAAATTGCCCAGGTAAGTCCTATACACAAAAAGCAGGACAAATCCAACCAGCCAAATACCGCACTATCAGTCTACTCTCAATCATCAGTAAAGTGATGGAAGGCGTCATCAATAGTGCAGCACCCACTCAGAAATAACCTGCTCAGTGACGCCCAGTTTGGGTTCCGCCAGGGCCAATCAGCTCTTGACCTCATTACAGTCTTGGTCCAAACATGGACAAAAGAGCTGAATTCCAGAGGTGAGGTCAGAGTGACAGACCTTGATATCAAGGCTGCATTTGACAGAGTGTGGCATCAAGAAGCCCTAGCAAAACAGGAATCAATGGGTATCAGGGGCAAACTCTGCAGTGGTTTGAGTCATTCCTGACACATAGGAAGATGGTCATGGTCAAATCATCTCAGCTCCAGGACATCACTGCAGGTTAGTGTCCTAAGCCCAACCATCTTCAGCTGCTTCATCAATGACCTTCCCTCCATCATAAAGGTCAGAAGTGGGGATGTTCGCCGATGACTGCACCATATTCAGCACCATTCATGACTCCTCAGATACTGAAGCTGTTTATGTTCAAATGCAAGATCTGGACAATATCCAGGCTTGAGCTGACAAGTGGCAAGTGACATTCACACCACACAAATGTCAGGCTATGACCATCACCAATAAGAGACAATCTAACCACCGTCCCTTGACATTCAATGGTGTTAACATCACTGAATCACCCACCGTGAACATCCTGGGTGTTATCATTGACCAGAAACTCAACTGGAATTACCACATAAACACTGGCTACAAAAGCGGGCCAGAAGCTAGGAACACTGCGGCGAGTAACTCACCTCCTAACTCCTCAAAGCCTGTCCGCCATCTACAAGGCACAAGTCAGGAGTGTGATGGAATATTCCCCGCTTGCCTGGATGAGTGCAGCCTCAACAATACTCAAGAAGCTTGACACCATCCAGGACAAAGCAGCCCGCTTGATTGGCACTACATCCACAAGCATTCACTCCTTCCACCACTAACGCTCAGAAGCAGCAGTGTGTACTATCTACAAAATGCACTGCTGAAATTCACCAAAGATCCTCATACAGCACCTTCCAAACCCACAAACATTTCCATCTGAAAGGACAAGGGCATCAGGCAGATGGGAACACCACCACCTCCAAGTTACCCTCCAAGCCACTCACCATCCCGACTTGGAAATATATCGCCGTTCCTTCATTGTCACTGGTTCAAAACCCTGGAATTCCCTCCCTAATAGAATTGTGGGTCAACCCACAGGAGGACTTCAGCAGTACAAGAAGGTAGCTCACCACCACCTTCTCAAGGGCAACTAGGGATGGGCAAGAAATGCTGGCCAGCCAGCAATG